AAGCTCCTAAGTCTCTCAGTCTTATTAGTGTGGACTTGTGTAGTAGGTGTTCAGCGGCACAGTATTGAGAAGGGTTCAGCTGCAGGCCAAACTTAGCCCAAGCCTCTGCCTCTCCAGAGCCACTGTTAAGATTCAGCAAGCAATCCACAGATGCTGTACTTATAGTTGCCTCAAAAGGCCACACCACAAACTGAGGCCATCTGCCTTCAGTGTGAGTCTAGACGCTGCTCAGCAAGGAGCACTTGACTTGCTGAAGATATATCTGGATGTGGCTTGGGCAGGGTCACGAGTTGTGGGAGGCAGAGTTTCAGTGAATCCTCTGGGTGGAACAACCTCTGTTATCCAGTTTGATGACATTATGGCTATGGTGGCGCTGTGTCCTTGCACTGGGATCGGGGAGGGCTCAAAAGGGAACAATGGATATGGCCGGCACTTCTGGAAGTAGTAAGTCTTGCCTTGGCCCTCATTCTGACAATGTCTCCCTGTAAGTCCCTGATGCCCCCTATGTGCAGCTGAATCGGCACCGGTGCTCAGAGTGAGCAGGTCCATCACTGTGAAAATCCACTCGCAGACACGGTTCCTTTAAGAGGCTTCTGCCACTGCCGCAGCCTGTGTCTCACTCAGCATCTCAGGACCAGGCAGCCTCATGTCCTCACCCCATCCTACCTTCTGCCATTGCAGGGTGTTTTCTTGGACTTTTTCCTAGTTGTATGGCTTGTTCCTCTAGATAGCAGGCAATTTTTCTTGCTGCTGCTCCTTGTTTCTGTCACAACTTTGATTTGGTCACCAGAGGGATAAACATAATCTCTATCATCTACACAATTATTTTTCCTCCTGTCTTTATTTTCAAAGGGGAAAGGTCATTTGATACTTGACTTGTCAAAGTCAGATATAAATTGTAAATACCTCCAAATCAACTGTTTTCTATACCTGTTTGTGTCTATCTATATACGTATATTATAAGTGTGAGATAATTTTAACTTTGCACGGTCTTGTTAAAACTAATTTAAAGGCAAGTGCTTGTAAGAATTGGGTATTCTAAAATCCTCAGATATTTAGAAACTAACAAATACTTTTCAAGTGCCTTTGATCTATGATCAATTCTCAGTAAATAAAAGCTAGCTTATGAGGGGGAAAAATGGAGTAGATGATAGAGGTTCTGTTCATCTCTCTGGTGACTAAATCAAAATGTAATGGAAACAAGGAGTAAACACCAAGGAAAAATCGCCCGAGATCTAGAACAAGCCATATAACTAGGGAGAAATCCCATGTGTGTGTCCTAGGCTTGGCTGGTCCCAGGTCTGGCTGTGATCCAGGTTTGAGGCTAAGATTAGGACCTTGGATTTAGAATAGTAGGGTGCCTGTGCCTAAAATATGTAAACATAATTTAGCTTATTATATCACACATGTGTGGCTGAATGCCACTATTGTACTCTGATATGTATGGAGCCATGCGGTCCCCTCAGGAGCAAGAGAGGGGCACAAGAAAGGGGAACAGAAGAAGAGCAGAAGCAGAAGCATGTTCCTTACAATAGAACAGCACTTCTCGGAACAGAAGTGCACTCCCCACAATAAAGTTGATGCCTGCCATTTCATTCTCATGTCAGCCTCTTGTACATTCTTACAACTGGACATCTCACCAACAAAACCTTCCCTTCTTGATCAGCTCAGCACTGACACCCCGCAATGGCAGAAGGTAGGACAGGGCGAGGATGCGAGGCTGCCTGGTCAGAGTGGCTGAGTGGGATGGAGGGTGGCAGTGGCAGTTGGAAGTGGCAGCCAGCAGCTGCAGACGTCAGCTGCGAATGCCTATTAAAGGAGCCATACCTATGAGCAGTCTTGCGTGGTGCCGGACCTGCTTGCTCTATGCACCAGTGCTGGTTTGGCCATCTTCAGGGGGCACCAGGGACTTACGGGGAGATGCTAAGTTGTCAGAGTGAGGGTCAGGATGAGACTCGCTAGGTACAGAAGTGCCGGTGATATCTCTTGTTTCTCTGTTGAGCCTTCCTCGATCCCAGTGCAAGGACACAGAGCCGCCATAGCCATAATGTCATCAAACTGGATAACAGAGGTCACTCCATCCAGAGGATTCCCTGAAACTCTGCCTCCCACAACTTGCAGCCCCACCCAAGTCGCATCCAGGTACATACTTAGTGAGTTAAGTGCTCCTTGCTGAGCAGCACCTTGACTCACACTGGTTGCAGCTGGCCTCCGTTTGTGGTGTGGCCTTTTGAGGCAACTATAAGTACAGCATCTGTGGATTGCTTGCTGAATCTTAACAGTGGCTCTGGAGAGGCAGAGGCTTGGGCTAAGTTTGGCCTGCAGCTGAACCCTTCTCAATTCTGTGCCGCTGAACACCTACTACACAAGTCCACACTAATAAGACTGAGAGACTTAGGAGCTTTGCTTAGTACATAGAAACAGACATGGAAAAGCAGCCAACATGGGAAGACAAAGAAGCAGAAACCGTATGAGAGAACAGAACAGAAATCCAGAAATAATGGAGTCAAGCAATCTAACAGATGTAGAGTTCAAAACACTGGTTATAAAGATGCTCAATGAATTTTTGGGAAGTAAAGATAAAATCAACAAAGAGATACAAAACATAAAAATGGAAATGGAAATCATAAAAGGTAACCAGTCTGAAATGAAGAGTACCTCATCTTAGATGAGAAGCACATTAAATGGAATAAACAAAGTGAATAAACAAAAGGATTAAATGACCTATACAGAAGATGGGAAAGCTAAGGACACTTGATCAGAATGGTAAGAAAAAAGAAGCCATGACTATAATAATTTAAGGAGCTGATGGAAGACCATTAATGGTAAAAATATCCATCTCATCGATGTACCAGTAGGAAAACAAGATGTTGAACAGCTAAACAAGAAGAAACAATGATGGTAAAATTCCCTAACCTGGTGACGGAAATAAACATACAAGTCCAGGAAGGACAGAGAATCCCCCAAACCAGGAATCCAAAGACGCTGACACCAAGATACATCATAATTAAAATGTCAAAGGTTAGGTACAAAGAGAGAATCTTAAAAGCAACTAGAGAAAAGCAGATAGCTACCTACAAGGGAGCAACCATAAGACTGGTAGCTGGTTTCTCAAAAGAAACTATGCAGGACAGAAAGGCTTGGCACAAAATATTCGATGTGATAAAGACCCAGGATCTACAACCAAAAATCCTTCATCCAGATAAACTATAATTTAGAGTGGAAGAACAGATAAAGAGCTTCCCAGACAAAAACAAGCTAAAGGAATTTATCACCACCAAGGCAGTATTACGGGAAATGTTGGAGAGACTTAAGAAAAAAAAAAAGTATCAAAAAACAGTAATTAAGAATGGTAACAAATATGTTCCTATCAATAAGTACATTGAATGGAAAAAAAAAATTAAGTGCTCCAATTAAAAGAGAGAGTGGCTGAATGGATAAGAAAACATCTCTACATGCTGCCTACAAGAGACTCACTTCAGATTAAAAGACACACACAGACCAAAAGGAAGGGGATGGAAGAAGATACTGCCTTGATGGGCCTAGAAAATATTTAAGTCAGAGAGAGAAAGATAAACACCATATTATTTCACTTATATGCGGAATCTAAAAAACAAAAAGAACAAACTAATCAAAAACAGATACACAAATATAGTGGACAATTTGGTGACAGACAGAGGGGAAGTGGGGTTGTGGGGTTGGGAGAATGGAGTGAAGGGTTAAATACATACAAATTAGTTGGTGATGGATGGCCATGGAGATAGGGAGCACAGCATAGGGAATGCAGTTAGCATTAATATGTTGGGTAGGAGGAGGGCCAGGGGAGGGAGGGAGCAACTGGAGGAATTGTTTTATGAACTATATAGATGTCTAACCAATGTATTAATGTATTAATTTAAATTAATAAATAAATTATAAATAGAATTAAAAAATAAAAAATTAGCTTAAGTATGTTGGTTAAGTAAAACAGACATGTCTTAATTTTGCCTGGGTTTTACAAAAGTAAGTTCATGTAATAATTGATATTTATATCTATTAAAGATGTTTCTAGAAGTTATAAATATCCAAGGTAAAGAATGCTAAATGATTACTTCTTAGTTTTCATTAGACAGTGAGGTTTTAAATGTTGAAATCTCAACATATGTAGGAATAACTTTGTGGTGTTCCAGAAGGGTCCCTGTAACACCTCAAGATGTAACCAGAGAACTCAGACCCCCAGCGACGAGGTTCTTGTCTTATGTCTTAAGAAAGAATTTAAGGGAAAGACAGACAGCAGGCAGGAAAGCCTAAGGTTTATTAAAGTGAAAGTACACACTCAAAAGGAGGATGCAAGGAGAGAGAGAGAGAGAGAGAGAGAGAGAGAGAGAGAGAGAGAGAGAGAGAGAGAGAGCGCGAGCGAGCGAGCGAGAGAGAAGTATGTCTCCACTACGGGCTTTTGTTCTTGGGGCAGAGCACAGAAATGTATTGACTTAAACTTGTTGTCTCCTCTCAGTAGGTGGGAGCTTTATTCCTCACTTCTTATTTCTTATATGGTATTTTCGGAATAGTCATGGCAATAGGTACATGTTGGAACTGCAGTATTTGCAATGTGGATGAGATAATAATATTAGAATTAGTCAAAGGTCATGACTTAGCTAAAAATGTCATCTAAACAGGAAGAGACCACTTTTGGCTTATCTCCCCTTGTCGGAGCTAAAATAAGGGGAAGTCTGAAGAAAGGAAAAAAAAAATCTAGAGCCATATCTTGGAGGGAGAGGGGACATCTCTATGCTAACTATCCTGCTTCAAAAAGATTTGAAATTGCATGGGAAGCATTGTAAAAATAAGTGATGAAAACTTCTAGGGTATATTGTATAGGTGAAAAATAGTTGTGATTTAAACAAATAGTTGGGGCTATGAGAAACCCAAGACAATAGCTTGATTCTTCCCTGCTCCCAGGGTCCCCATTTTTTGCTTTTTACATTTCTTTATGTGTCATAGTGCATATAAGTTGGACTTAGATGAAGGAACTTGTAAGTGATATTTTTGAAAAGGAACATCTTACACTGTTAACAAGGTTTGATAGAGTCACTTCAAGAAAATTCCAAGTTGGTGACCAGTTCCTTCCACAGCCAATGTGCGGTAGGAATTTATGATTAGGTCACCCTATGATGTTACTTTCTGTAGACTCCCTTTTTTATCCATAATAAATCAAAATTATAGTGAACACAGATCACGTCAAAGAATGTTAAAGTTAAAGTGGAATTAGAGAATATCAAGTTCTTTTAATCCAGTCATTCTTATAATGCGGGAAACGGAGACCTGAAATGATGATCTATACATTTTAGTAAATGGTTGATCTAGGAGTTTATCTTTGCTCTCAGGATGGGACTCTTTCCACTGTTGTAAATATGATATGTAGGAGGATACAGAATAAAGGGAGGGACTGGTGTTGGAAACCAAAAAGGGGAGAGATAAACTTGAAGAAGGGATGATGGGGAAATGAAAAACACTGTAAAATGCATGTGGTTGTGGGAGGCAGTGGGGTTTCTCAAATAGGGAAGTGGGCAGAGGGCAAGATTTCTGTTGGCAGAAAGGCGGATGATAGAGCATATGACTATGCCATCGGAGTTCTAAAGAGTTCTCTCTAGAGGAACAAAAATCACCCACTGAAGTGAACTTGGGGGAGTGCCAGATAAAACCCAAGCAAAGGTAAACATGAGGATGCCTGTGGCCTGATCACCTATGGGACAAAAAGCAGGAGCCTGGGGAAGACTGGTAACAGAGGAAGAGCACTGGGCTCCCTCAGAATGGCCAGGATAGTCTAGTCAAGCTGGATTCTAATAATAGGATTCTCCATCCATCTCAGATTATTCTTTTTCAGATTGTATTTGTTTACAGGGCTTATATAATCGGCTCCTTCCCTTATTACATTTTATATAAATTTCAGATTCTTGGATCTATGTTCATAAATATTCTTTGGTACAAATAGTCTGTCAGTTTCCCTTTTTTCACAAAGCCAGTTTTATCCCACATCCCTTTTTGTTGAGGATTGAGTTATATGAGCCTTTGTGTATAAAAATGACATACTTAGGAGTTTGGATTATTTTTCATAAAACAAATTGAAGTGTTTTAAGCATGAGCTTGACATGATGCGGTTTAAATTTTATGTAGCAATTCTGAAGCAGGGTGCTGAATAGATATGGAGAGCATTTGGATTGCAATGTACAGCTAAAGGCAGTAATCCAGGTCACACATAATGTTGACGTAAGAAATGTCAAACTTATAGAGAATTTTATGGGAGTTTATTTGAACCAAACTGACTACACATGCTGGAAAGCAAGATCTCAAATACTCCAGAGAATAATAGTTTTGCAACTTCTCTTACGCATTTGAAATTAAGGAAGATTACATAGAGATAAGAGAAAGCAAGTTTGGGTTTGAATTACAGGATAGTTAATAAAATGATGTGCTCTCTTGAGGGTGGGTACACTTAATTTCAAAGGTGTGTTAACATAGATACACAGAAACTATGGACAGGGCTTGCTTAAAGGAAATATAAACCTTTTGCTAAAAATTCATATGCCTGGGATGTGATTACCCACCATGACCTGCCCAGTTAGAAATTTATGATCCAATCACCCTGTGAGGTTACTTTACAACTTTTTTCATCCACAACAAAATGTCAGTGAGGATAAAGAGGAGAGATATTTAACAAATTAAAGAGAAAAATAAAATGGTGACATAGTAACTGTGTGGAGTAAAGGAGAGGTAAGTTTCCAAAGAATGAGGTTTTTTAGGTTTCTGCTTAGATAATTGCATGGATATTGGCAGAGCATGGGATGAAGCTGTTATCTATTTTTCTAGTTTCACCGAAGTTTTTTTCTGTCACCACATATTTTATCTTTTTTTATCCTATCTACCTCTTACGCCATATTCTTTTCCATGAAAATAGAGTGAAATAGCTCAGTAGTGAGTACAGGAGAGAACATACATATATAATTTGGTTTGTAGTACAAGCTTTCTTCATGGCTTGAGATAGTTGCCTTCTTGATATGTCCTCACATGACTTTTCCTCAATGCATGTGGAGAGAGAGAGAAAGACAGAGAGAGAGAGAGAGGGAGAGAGCACGTAGAGAGAGTCAGGGAGCAAGGAGAGAGTGATGAAGACAGAGAGAGGTAGAGAGGGAGAGAGAGACAGATAGAGACAGTGAGAGAGAGACAGAGAGAAACAGAGAAAGAGAGACAGAGAGGCAGAGAGAGAGAGAAGAGAAAGCTCACTCTGTGATGTCTCGTCTTATAAAGTCCCACTCTTAGGACCTCATTTAACCTTGATTACTTTCTTAGAGGCCCCATCTCCAAATCCAGCCACAATGTGGATTAGGGCTTCAACATATGAATTTTGGGGGAACATAAATAATAAGTTTTTAACAGTAAGACTACTTCATTTGGAGTTCAATACCAGCAACATTACTGGCATTACACACTTAATGGAAATTCCTTAGAAGCTTTTTCGAGAAGTTATGCAAAGTTGACAATTTGATCCATATATCTTATACTCTGTATCTTTATTTCACTTGTTTCTGAATTCAGGAGCAAGGAGTTCTATAACATTAATCAGCATAGATAGGTTAATATTGCAGTTATAAGTAAACTTGAGCATATTAGAGGTTAAACGCAGCACATTTTATTTCTCATGCAAGCAAACTCCATGCAGATCAGTAATTCCTTCTCTGTCTTGAAGCTCTGCCATCTGGAATAGGTGACTTCCAAGCTGGCACTGCAGGCAAGATGATCAAATGTGATATTTTACAGAGTCAGGCCTGGGTGACTGATATCTCCAGCAGAGCATACTCCATTGCCCAGTACTCAGTTACAAGAGAGTAGAGGATTATGTTTTTCCTATAGGCCCGCAGAGGGGAAAATGTGATAAATATATAACAGTACATCAGCTATACCTTCCTAAACTATAAACTAGGATTTTGCCATTGACAAGGAGATTCAGGCAAAGATGAGATCTGGTGCTTGTGAGTGACGTAGGTGGGGCATAAACTGTGTGTTGTTGTTCAATGTGCGTGTAGCTCATAGAAATTACCAAATATCTGTGGCCATAATAGAAAGAGCTCATTAAGTGTAACTTTCAGCCTCATTATTAATGTTGACAAATATGAAAGAGAAATAATGTTACAAATGGGGTTTTAAATAACTGCTTCTTGCATTCAGTAATTACTTAAAGTTTTAAAGAGATATTATAATAATAATCATAAGGCCTAGGTATTAAAAAGATTTTGTGTTTACGTATTCACACACATTAACCAGTCAGAACCATTGACAAATCACCAACTACTTCTCAAGTCAACGACTTAAACTAAAATATTAACGACCGTTACCTCTTTTTGACAATGCGTTTTTATCTGATCACAAAATTTAACTTAAATATGGTTGTTTAATGTCTCCCCTTGTATCTCTTGAAAAGTTGAATTTTCTAACTTCCAGTTGTACTCTGCACAGAAGTTTACCTCTTTGGTTGAAAAGCATGCTGCTCTTCTGAGACTTCCAATTATGAAAACCTCAAGGGTTAAGCAGTAAAAATGTCTTCCTGGAAAACATTGTTCTGAACAGGCTTGTATCTGGAATTCTAGACACAGAAATGGCAATCACCATAATACATTTTAATTCTTGGTTTACATATACTTTTGTAGCTTGAAGCTCCTTGATAGAAGTGAATACATTGCAAATTATGTTATGTTAATATATTTACTAAGATACTTGGTACCAAGCATGTGTTGAGGGATTTTTTGGTGAGTGAATATATAAATTAAACTCACTAGGAGGGCTTATTCTTTATATATGTGTGTGGTTTTATGAACTCTGGCATGCCTGCAATTTTATCTCTAAGGATAATGAAGAGCTGGCTATAGTTTATACAGTTGCATGGGGAAATCATAGGAGACGTGAAAAAGCAAATTCTCCAATATATAAATAAGCCAGCGAGAGTCAAGAAATGAGAAAGGTGGAGGAATAATGGTTGAATGGCAAAGAGAATACTTTGAGGGTATTCAAAGGGGGAGAAATAGAATGGAGTGCCCAGAAGAGGGGACATAATGGAGCCTGGAGGTAGAGTTGAGTGAAGAAATTTGTAGAATTGTGATCTGTTCAAACAAGCAGTGTCCAGGGAAGCCATGCCATTTCTCTCTCTCTCTCTTCTTTTTTTTTTTTTTTTTGTTTTAGAGATGAGATGCAAGTCTCAGAGAGGTGAAGTGACCTTTCAATGTCACACACAACTTTGCCCATGACAGTTGACGAGGGGAAATAGAAAGGGTGAAGGCTAGTGATACGAACAACAGCTGAAATCAGACAGGAGAGAATAACCTTAGTCAGAGCTGGAGAGGAAATGAAAGATCAAGTAGGAGGCCCAAGGTGGAGGGAAGCAGCAGATTTTCTTTGTTGAAGTCAGTGGTTGGTGGGGAGGTTTCTGTTGTTGGAAGGAAGAAGTCAGAATTCAGAGTTTCTGAGGGATAAGTTTGCTGAAAACAGAAAGGAAAAAAGAAACATCTGCAAATGGCATGCTGTTTTTGCAACCTGCAATGTTAACTGTTCTGTCAGGTGGTGACAATGCAGACGCTAAGAACATCTCTCAGGAGGCCCAGATGGTGAACTTTCCCAAGATGCATCTGGATTTCAAGGATGCCAGAGTGCTTACAATCTGAGGAGTCCTGTCTCTAGGTCCAGTTTACACTTTGAAAGATGGTAGTAGAGAATGGAGTTCTGTCTCAGGAAAATATTATTGTTAAAGTAATCATTATGTTTCTCTCCCTCTCTACTAACTGGTTAATTTTCTATTTTCTCTCCTCCCTGTTTGCCTAAACAGTCAAACAAACAAACAAACAAAACCTAACCTACCACTCATAGTGGTCCAGGAACACATCTCATTCCATCTCATCCAGATCTCATCCTTTGCCAACCATTCCAAGGCACAAAATCAGGGCTTGCATTGGCTAAAAGAGCTGCAAACTCATGGCTGGGAAAGCAAAAATGGCACAATAATTTTCCTGCACACCTGTTTCAAGGATAACTTCAGCAATGAGGAGCTGATAGACTTGGAGCTGTTATTTCATGTCTACTTCATTGGATTAACTCAGAATTCAGAGATTTAAGACTACACCAGTCAATTACAATTTGAATATAAGTTCAACCCACTCAATTAGGGGATTCTCTAAAAGGTTTTATTTGTGGGAAACATTCTCACACCTTTGTGGGTCATTTCCCATTATTCCTATCCCACCATAAAAATTGTCATGCATAAATTTCTTGGGGGTTATTTCAGATGTGGACTCCTCAGGATCTTGTAGACTCTTTCTTCTTCTGGCTGTTCTTTTCTTGTGCTTTAAAAATATCTTTCCACATGGTCCCCCTTCTATGGCCTAAAACACAGAGTCACTCAGTTTTACCACTCTGTGCTTGAAATCTGATCTCTTAAAATTGTCCCTTAAAATCTGATCTTTCTCCATTCAGTTTCCCTCACATGGGTTTCTCTAACTGCCCCCCCTCCCAGCTTATATCATGCACCTCCCTATCATTTCCCCAAACTTCTTCAAATTTATCTCTTATACCCCCTTCCCCATCTCACTAATTTTTTTCTTTTTCTTTTTTTCCTGATCAAATACATCTTTGGCTCAACTCACACTCATATAAAACTTTCTTCTTGTTCCACTTATTTATTAGACCCTAGGTTCTTATATAGTTTCTCTCATGTTTTTCATTAATTGTTTTTTTTTTCTTCTTTCTCCCTTTTCCCGAATCTCTTTAAATTACAGGTGACAGCGAGCTATAAGCTGCATTGTAGAGACCCTGCAAAAGACTTCTTTCAGGGTCTCTAGATTCCTTGAGTTTCCAAAACATGTCATGGGTACCATCTCCAGAGGTTTAGAGTAGAGCCCAGATTGTCTGCTATCTAATCAATCAGTATTAAAGCATCAAAGAAACAGTGCATGGGCTCATCGGAAACATCTGCCCCCAATTTGTCTTGGGTCTCCCCTATGCGGAAAAGATGGATATCCAGAGACAAGTTTAGTTCAGCCCCTTCCTCTAAGACTTTTATATACAAGTCTTGCCCCTTTCCATCACTTCCTTCAAAGTTAGGAAAAGGAAGAATTCAAGAGGGAGTGGGTTTGCTGGGAAAAATGTTTCTAAATAAAGCTAATATGTGTATATTAATGAGATAATTTGCCCCTAAGTTGTTTGAGTCTTTATCTAAATACTTGTTATGCCCTCTACAGTGAAGCCAGAGGCCTGGCTATCTAGTAGTCACATCCTTGGTCTAGCCAGCTGTTGCTGATTTGTCATGTCTCCAGCTTCTACTCAAAGCCTATTTGGGTGATGTGGATGTGGGGTGAACAGGAGCAATCAGGCACTCAGCAAGGTGATGTCTCACCTAATAATGATGGGACATGGTATCTTCATGAGATCCTGGTTGTAGAGGCTGAAGAGACAGCTGGTTTGACTTGCCAAGTGAGACACAGCAGTCTAGGAGACCAAGACATCATTCTCTACTGGTGTAAGTAAGATTGAATCTGTAAGTGTGAGAAGGTAGTTCTTCAGCTTAGAAGGTAGTGCAGAGAAAAGTTTCATGATGCCAGAACTAGGTGAGAGAGATATCAAGAAGAAAGGAATACAGGTGATTCCAGAAATGTAGAAATAAAACACAAAAGACATTCAGATGTAAGATATTTAGGGGGAGATGAAGAAG